TGTGACCCTGCTCATAATGCAGAGACTCATTACCCGGAGGCAACAAAAATTTACTAAATTTTTTTTTTTTTTTGAATATGATTTTTATTTTCATCATATAACAAGAGTTAGTCAACTGTATGCATTCTGGGACCCGCAGGTCTCCATTTATAGGGCAACTGGTGAGACGCGCAGGCCTCGGAATCATTTATTTGTGTTCGGTTTCCGAGTTTACTAATTTTAAATGTGTGACCAGAAGCCCAGTATATTTATGTTTCCCTCTCTTATAATATCATAATAATGTCTCCTGAATCCCTCCTGTATAGATGAAAATGTATGCCACTCATAACTCTTACCTTGCATGTTGTGGTTACTTTTGTTTATTCTTAGGGAAAAGTAATCTTTTTTTTTTTTTTTTTTCTTATTCATGTTTTGATAACTACTAGCTGTCTGCCTCTACTTAAATGTACTTACATACAACACCACCTGGGGGGGCAACAACATACCGGCAGCTGGCGTGGGCTGACTCCTGAGATTTTTTTAAGTTAACTGTCCTATTTATGCCAACGTACTCACTGTTAGACAGCCTAGCACAGTTGATTTTACCAGTGCCTTATAGTTTTTGGTTCTGCCTAATGTGTCCCCTAGCGTACCTTTATGATGCCTCTATATGCCTTAGTGCCACCATGATCTACTCTGTCTTAACAAACAATATGTCTAATATCTACCAAGCCTAAATACCAATGTTTAATCATAAGATAGGAAGTAGCTCAGAAGTGTTACCTGATCTGCCATCACTAGCCCATGCCAAACGGTGACACCTTCCATGCAAATATAATAATCTATCGTATAAGCTGTGTTTAAAGCCTTGACTAGCTAAACAATTCCTGCTAAATGTTGAACAACTATGTTTTTACCTGTTATTCATATTATAAAATGTGCAAGTTTTTCCTGAGTGCCACGATGCCCATACAAACCAAGCACACTCAGGTCATAGATGTATACCTAAGCGAACTCGGACTGTTTATCCTAAAAACGCATTGCTCTGTCTTTTCAACACCTATGTCATTAAGCATACTTGAGGTGCTTGCCAATGTTGTTGGAGCACGACGAGTTATTCTGTTATATGTCATACATTGCACAACAAAATAAAGAATAAAAAAAAAAAAAAAAAAGAAATGAGTTCTGCTATTCACTGCGCCGCTGGGAATGATTTGAGATCTGCTACTCACTGCACTGCCGGGAGTGAATTGAGATCTGTTACTCACTGCGCTGCTGGGAATGATTTGAGACCTGCTACTCACTGCGCTGCTGGGAGTGAATTGAGATCTGCTATTCACTGCGCTGCCAGGAGTGAATTGAGATCTGCTATTCATTGCGCTGCTGGGAGTGAATTAAGAACTGCTACTCACTGTACTGCCGGGAGTGAATTGAGATCTGCTATTCACTGCGCTGCCGGGAGTGAATTGAGATCTGCTACTCACTATGCTGCCGGGAGTGAATTGAGATCTGCTACTCACTATGCTGCCGGGAGTGAATTGAGATCTGCTACTCACTGTGCTGCCGGGAGTGAATTGAGATCTGCTAGTCACTGCGCTGCTGGGAGTGAATTAAGGTCTGCTATTCACTGCGCTGCCAGGAGTGAATTGAGATCTGCTACTCACTGCGCTGCCTGAGTGAATTAAGGTCTGCTACTCACTGCGCTGCCGGGAGTAAATTGAGATCTGCTACTCACTGCGCTGCCGGGAGTGAATTGAGATCTACTACTTACTGTGCTGCTGGGAGTGAATTGAGATCTACTACTTACTGCGCTGCTGGGAGTGAATTGAGATCTACTACTCACTGCGATGCCTGGAGTGAATTGAGATCTTTTACTCACTGCGCTGCCTGAGTGAATTTAGAACTGCAACTCACTGTGCTGCCGGGAGTGAATTGAGATCTGCTATTCACTGCGCTGCCGGGAGTGAATTGAGATCTGCTACTCACTGTGCTGCTGGGAGTGAATTGAGATCTGCTACTCACTGCGCTGCCGGGAGTGAATTAAGGTCTGCTATTCACTGTGCTGCCGGGAGTGAAATGAGATCTACTACTTACTGTGCTGCCGGGAGTGAATTGAGATCTGCTACTCACTGTGCTGCCGGGAGTGAATTGAGATCTGCTACTCACTGTGCTGCCGGGAGTGAATTGAGATCTGCTACTCACTGCGCTGCTGGGAGTGAATTGAGATCTGCTACTCACTGTGCTGCCGGGAGTGAATTGAGATCTTTTACTCACTGCGCTGCCTGAGTGAATTTAGAACTGCAACTCACTGTGCTGCCGGGAGTGAATTGAGATCTGCTATTCAATGTGCTGCCGGGAGTGAATTGAGATCTACTACTTACTGTGCTGCTGGGAGTGAATTGAGATCTACTACTCACTGTGCTGCCGGGAGTGAATTGAGATCTGCTAGTCACTGTGCTGCCGGGAGTGAATTGAGATCTACTACTCACTGTGCTGCCGGGAGTGAATTGAGATCTGCTACTCACTGTGCTGCCGGGAGTGAATTGAGATCTGCTACTCACTGTGCTGCCGGGAGTGAATTGAGATTTACTACTTACTGTGCTGCTGGGAGTGAATTGAGATCTACTACTCACTGTGCTGCCGGGAGTGAATTGAGATTTACTACTTACTGTGCTGCTGGGAGTGAATTGAGATCTGCTAGTCACTGCGCTGCCGGGAGTGAATTAAGGTCTGCTACTCACTGCGCTGCCGGGAGTAAATTGAGATCTGCTACTCACTGCACTGCCGGGAGTGAATTGAGATCTACTACTTACTGTGCTGCTGGGAGTGAATTGAGATCTACTACTTACTGTGCTGCTTGGAGTGAATTGAGATCTACTACTCACTGCGCTGCCGGGAGTGAATTAAGGTCTGCTATTCACTGTGCTGCCGGGAGTGAATTGAGATCTACTACTTACTGTGCTGCTGGGAGTGAATTGAGATCTACTACTCACTGTGCTGCCGGGAGTGAATTGAGATCTTTTACTCACTGCGCTGCCTGAGTGAATTTAGAACTGCAACTCACTGTGCTGCCGGGAGTGAATTGAGATCTGCTACTAACTGTGCTGCTGGGAGTGAATTGAGATCTGCTACTCACTGTGCTGCCGGGAGTGAATTGAGATCTGCTACTTACTGTGTTGCTGGGAGTGTTTTGAGATCTGCTACTCACTGCGCTGCCAGGAGTGAATTGAGATCTGTTACTCACTGCGCTGCTGGGAATGATTTGAGATCTGCTACTCTCTGCGCTGCCAGGAGTGAATTGAGATCTGCTACTCACTGCGCTGCTGGGAGTGAATTGAGATCTACTACTCACTGCGCTGCCGGGAGTGAATTAAGGTCTGATATTCACTGTGCTGCCGGGAGTGAATTGAGATCTACTACTTACTGTGCTGCTGGGAGTGAATTGAGATCTACTACTCACTGTGCTGCCGGGAGTGAATTGAGATCTGCTAGTCACTGTGCTGCCGGGAGTGAATTGAGATCTACTACTTACTGTGCTGCCGGGAGTGAATTGAGATCTGCTACTTATTGTGTTGCTGGGAGTGTTTTGAGATCTGCTACTCACTGCGCTGCCAGGAGTGAATTGAGATCTGTTACTGCGCTGCTGGGAATGATTTGAGATCTGCTACTCACTGCGCTGCTGGGAGTGAATTGAGATCTGCTATTCATTGCGCTGCTGGGAGTGAATTAAGAACTGCTACTCACTGTGCTGCCGGGAGTGAATTGAGATCTTTTACTCACTGCGCTGCCTGAGTGAATTTAGGCCTGCTACTCACTGTGCTGCCGGGAGTGAATTGAGATCTGCTACTTATTGTGTTGCTGGGAGTGAATTGAGATCTGCTACTTACTGTGTTGCTGGGAGTGTTTTGAGATCTGCTACTCACTGCGCTGCCAGGAGTGAATTGAGATCTGTTACTCACTGCGCTGCTGGGAATGATTTGAGATCTGCTACTCTCTGCGCTGCCAGGAGTGAATTGAGATCTGCTACTCACTGCGCTGCTGGGAGTGAATTGAGATCTGCTATTCATTGCGCTGCTGGGAGTGAATTAAGAACTGCTACTCACTGTGCTGCCGGGAGTGAATTGAGATCTGCTATTCACTGCGCTGCCGGGAGTGAATTGAGATCTAGTACTTACTGTGCTGCTGGGAGTGAATTGAGATCTACTACTCACTGCGCTGCCGGGAGTGAATTAAGGTCTGATATTCACTGTGCTGCCGGGAGTGAATTGAGATCTACTACTTACTGTGCTGCTGGGAGTGAATTGAGATCTACTACTCACTGTGCTGCCGGGAGTGAATTGAGATCTGCTAGTCACTGTGCTGCCGGGAGTGAATTGAGATCTACTACTTACTGTGCTGCCGGGAGTGAATTGAGATCTGCTACTCACTGTGCTGCCGGGAGTGAATTGAGATCTGCTACTCACTGTGCTGCCGGGAGTGAATTGAGATCTGCTACTCACTGTGCTGCCGGGTAGGGATCGACCGATATTGATTTTTCAGAGCCGATACCGATACCGATATTCTGTGAACTTTCAGGCCGATAGCCGATATAATTTGCCGATATTCTGTACATTTACCAAAATAAAAACTATTTCTAAAGGTAAATGCACAAAATATACATGCCACGTGTAGTGGATGCAGTGTGACAGGGGAGCTGTGTGTGTTTGTGTAGTGGATGCAGTGTGTGTTTGTGTAGTGTGTGTGTTATGGATGCATTGTGTGTGTGTAGTGTGTGTGGAGGATGCAATGTGTGTTTGTGTAGTGGATGCAGTGTGTATTTGTCTAGTGTGTGTAGTGGATGCAGTGTGTATTAGTGTAGTGTGTATATAATGAAAGCAGAGTGTTTGTGTAGTGTGTGGGTAGTGTGCGTAAAGTGAATGCTGTATATACTAAATGCAAAGTGTGTGTGTATATAATGAATGCAGACTGTGTGTGTATAGTGAATGTAGTGTGTTTATATAATGCAGAGTGTGTGTGTTTGTATAGTGTGTGTATATAATGCAGTGTGTTTGTGTAGTGTATATACACTTACAACACACTGCATTATATACACACACTACACACACACTTAAACACACTACACAAACACACACACACACACTGCATTATATAAACACACTACACAAACACACACACTGCATTATATACACACTACACAAACACACACTGCTACTACATAAACACACACCAAATTATACAAACACACTACACAAACACACTGCATTATATACACTACACAAACACACTGCATTATATACACACTACAAAAACACACTGCATTATATACACACACTACACAAAACACTGCACACACAACACAAACACACACTGCATTATATACACACACTACACAAACACACACTGCATTATATACACACACTACACAAACACACTGCATTATATACACACACTACACAAACACACTGCATTATATACACACACTACACAAACACACTGCATTATATACACACACTGCATTATATACACACAGTATATACACACACTGCATTATAGACACACACTACACAAACACACACTGCATTATATACACACACTACACAAACACACACTGCATTATATACACACACTGCATTATATACACACACTACACAAACACACTGCATTATATACACACACTACACAAACACACACTGCATTATATACACAGTGTGTTTGTGTAGTGTATGTGTATATAATGCAGTGTGTGAGGGGGCATTTTTTATTAAATTATTTTAAAAAAAAATTATATTTACTTTATTATTTATTTTTGTTGTCCCCCCTCCCTGCTTGTTACCTGGCCAGGGAGGGGGGATATGACAGTCCCTGGTGGTCCAGTGGCATTGGCTGAGCTGGGAGGGGGGGGCGCGGAGAGCAAGCGCTTACTCACCTCCCAGCAGCTCCTCCAGCTCCCCAGTGTAACTCTCGCGGCCAGCGTGTTGCGCGGAGCGTTGCCATGGTGATCCATGGCAACGCTCTGACGGCCGCGGGTCTCGCGAAAGTTACACTGGGGAGCTGGAGGAGCTGCTGGGAGGTGAGTAAGCGCTTGCTCTCCGCGCCCCCCCAGGACCGCCGGGCTTGTAATGAGCCTGGCAGTCCTAGGAGGTATTATCGGCAATATCGGTATCTGAATTGGCCGATACCGATATTGCCGAGAATACCGAATATCGGCCGATTATATCGGTAAAACCGATAATCGGTCGATCCCTACTGCCGGGAGTGAATTGAGATCTGCTACTTATTGTGTTGCTGGGAGTGTTTTGAGATCTGCTACTCACTGCGCTGCCAGGAGTGAATTGAGATCTGTTACTGCACTGCTGGGAATGATTTGAGATCTGCTACTCACTGCGCTGCTGGGAGTGAATTGAGATCTGCTATTCATTGCGCTGCTGGGAGTGAATTAAGAACTGCTACTCACTGTGCTGCCGGGAGTGAATTGAGATCTTTTACTCACTGCGCTGCCTGAGTGAATTTAGAACTGCAACTCACTGTGCTGCCGGGAGTGAATTGAGATCTGCTATTCACTGCGCTGCCGGGAGTGAATTGAGATCTGCTAGTCACTGCGCTGCCGGAAGTGAATTGAGATCTACTACTTACTGTGCTGCCGGGAGTGAATTGAGATCTACTACTTACTGTGCTCTGGGAGTGAATTGAGATCTACTACTCACTGTGCTGCCTGGAGTGAATTGAGATCTGCTACTCACTGCGCTGCCGGGAGTGAATTGAGATCTGCTACTCACTGCGCTGCCGGGAGCGAATTGAGATCTGCTACTCACTGCGCTGCCGGGAGTGAATTGAGATCTGCTACTCACTGCGCTGCCGGGAGTGAATTGAGATCTGCTACTCACTGCGCTGCCGGGAGTGAATTGAGATCTGCTACTCACTGCCAGCTTCAATTGTGCTCCAGCAGGTATTTGAAAAAGTCCTACTGCAGCCCTGTTTGCAAAAGATTGCTGACCCATGCCGTAAAGTGTGAGTTATCGGAATTAAAAATGTTTTTAAAAGATCACTAAAGGCCCCCTGACCACTTCATCTTAATGAAATGATCTGGGTGCCGTGTTCCTTTAGTTTGAAGCCTGCTATGTAAAACATTGCCGGTTTAGTAGATATGGCAATGCTTACATTTCAGGCTTCAATATGCTTCTATTGGCTGTCTACCAGTCTCCGTTCTCACAGCTAGCCTCATTATTTTATTTCGATTTAGGGGAGCCCTGAATCTAAATACAGAGGAAAACACTATAGCGTTAGGATTACACTATGGGATGCAATACATTATACGCCTTTTCATTTCAACTTTTAAGCCAAAATAGCAGAAAAATTGTTGGGAAAACTCTTCAAGTCCCAGCTCATGTTTCAGCTCAGTGATGTGGTAATAATTGTTGAAATTCAATTTGATTTCCCAGCAATTCAATACTGATACTGGTAGACAAAGATATTACTGACATGAATGGCAACCTGAATTCTAGAACAAGTTATTCCTGGTTTGATTAACATCCCTCATTAAGGGTAAGGATATACCTGGTGGGAAGGGATATAGTGCTTGGAGTTTTCCTTAAATCAAATCATTATTATTATTTATAAAGCGCCAACATATTCTTTAGCGCTGTACAATAGATGAATTAACCAACAAGTTGGACGTACGGAAACAGAAAGTGCCCAGCTTACATTCTTTTTTAATTCTTTATTTCTTTTTATTCCGGAAATCCAGACAGGCACAAGACACATTAGTTAGTACAATCGAACAGTGTATCAGCACTATGTTTTGTTACATTGATTGCGTGCATTCTTTATATTAACGTTACATTATTATACAGTTATGCAATTGTATGTGCATGTTCATTGCTTTCTGTGGGCCGCTAGCTAGCTTAGTCCGTGCCCCGTTAGACTTTTAGTTTGTCGGTTGCTGGCCCCTTATCTCGTATGTCTTTCCGTACATATAAGGTCTCTAAAGACTGCGGTAGCATCATCTTTATGTGCCTTTGGTACTCTGTGGTGTGTCCGACTGTGTGGACCCCAGGAGTTTTAAGGAAGTTCCAGCTTAGGGCTGGGTGTGAGGACTCCTATAGAGAGGAGAGAGAGAGAGAAAGGAAACTAGCGAAGGAGTAGCGAGAGGAGGATTAGTTTTAGGCCCGAGTGATATCATCGTGGGTCTTCTAGATTGGTGGGGGGGGGGGGGGAGAGTGGACGGAGGTGGTGGTCCCTATGGGTTCTGCTTTTCAAATGGTGTGGGTACAGTACCCCTTTGCCGCCAGGTTGTTGCCTCCTGTGCCGCATCACTTAGGTTTTTCCCTTCCACCCATTCATTCCATTTTTCCCATGTGTCTAGAATTTTATTGCGTCTATCAGAGCTCTCATGGGCCATTTTTTCGTACTGGCCATTGAGAGATACCTGTTGTATCACTTCGCCTATGGGAGGGGCAGTGGTGGATTTCCACTTCCTAGCTATAAGCAAGTTCGCTGCTATCAGTATGTGGAATGCCAGAGTCCCTTGTTGTCTTGAGATGAGGTCGGGGAATATGAACAGTAGGAAGAATTCCACTGATTCCCGTATTGGTTTGTGTAGTACTTCCCCCATTAGCTTGGCGATCTCCGCCCAGAAGGGTTTGATTAACGGGCAATCCCACCAGATATGTAACATTGTTCCCTTGTCAGTGTTGCATCTCCAGCATTTGTCAGAGGTGTTTGGGAACATGTGTGCTAGCCTCGCTGGTGTTAGGTACCATCTGGTGGCTATTTTCCTTATTAGTTCTACGTGGGAGTTGCATTTTGTGTATTTTTTGTGTATCTTAAAGGCTCCTGACCAGGCGGCGTCAGGTATTTTACGTCCTATGTCTACCTCCCAGTCTGTGGTGTATTTAGGCTTTGGGCGTTTGTCGTCTTTCAAAACTGCCTCGTAGCAGGTCGTTATGACCTTTTTCTTTGGTAGTAGCCCTGCGCACATTTTTTCTATAATGGTCATGTTTTGTATTGTGGGTGGGTGGAGGGGTTTTGTTTGGTTGGTGGTTTTTAATAGGGATTGTAGCTGTAGGTATGACAGGCCACTTATTTGGGGTGTGCTCAGCGGCAGGTTGAGTTGGGGGAAAGGGATCAAGTTCTCCCCGCTCCATGCTTGGTGTAGAAAGACTGTTCCCCTGCCCTCCCATCCCCTGCTGTCGAAGGTGGGAATGTAGTATTTGAAGCATTTGATTGGGGTAGCCAACGATATTGGGCTCCAGGAGGAGAACGTGTCTTTTTTATTGTCCCATGTCTTTAGCATTAGGGCCGTGGTGGGTAGCATGTTATGCATTTGTGGTCTCAGGGGCTTAGGTATCCAGAAGAGACAGGAGACCCCTTCTGCTAGGGACCAGTAGGACTCAATCTCCACCCAAGGTGGTTGGTGTTTTGTGTCTTGTGCCGCGATGGTGTGGCTGAGTATTGTGGCTATGTAGTAAGCTAGGATGTCTGGTCTGCCTATTCCCCCTTCTCCTAGTTTTCTAGTGGCTGTGGCCTTTGGGATGCGGGATTTGCGTCGGTCATTAATAAACCTGTCTATGTGTCTTTGCAATTGGATAAAGTATGTCTTTGGGACTTCCACTGGTATGGATCGGAACAAAAACTGCAGCTTCGGTAGCAGCATCATTTTAAAGGCCGCTATGCGGCCCAGCCAGGACAGAAATTTACCTTTCCAATTGTCCATTTTTGTGCGGATGTCGGAGGCTACTTTAAGGTAATTGGCTTTGATTAGGTCTAGCGGGTTTTTTGTTAGCTTTATTCCCAGATAAACCACATGGTCATTTCTCCAGTCGAAATTGTAGTGCGTTTTGAGGTTGTGTGTCGTCTTGTGGTCTAGGTTAATTGCCATGGCTTGTGTTTTGGCCTCGTTTAACTTGTAGTATGAGTGCCTGCTGTATTCTTTCAAAACCTCTGTGAGTGCTTTGATGGAGGTGTCTGGTTGTGTGATGGTGAGGAGGACATCGTCTGCGAATAAACTGAGTTTGTGTTCAGTACTTCCTATGTGAACTCCCTGTATGTCAGGGTGGGCCCTAATTTGGGTCGCGAGTGGTTCGAGGGCCAGGACGTACA